GCAACATAGCGGCTGATTCAACTGATCCATCCACACCGGCTGCTGGTTCGACGACTATAGCAGCATAGAAGCCGGTCCATTATCGGCCACGAGGAAGATCGTTAAATCATTGCTGTGGTAATGGCAATTGCGCCCCTCGCGGTTCATTAACACCAACATATCGCCCACTATATCATCATAATGTCGATTAGCTTGAGAACGGAATGACCAATGCTATTTCATTATTTTAAGTTCAGAAATAAACAATATGTAGATATATATTCTCTTTCAGTATACAGAATAATTTTATTTATAGAGAATTTTTCGATTAGAATATAATCATGATTATATAGAGAAGCTGCATCAATTTATGTACTTATCCAAATATAATATCCAATAATAAATACATAATTACTAATCAGTAGTGATATCTTATTGATAATTAAAGATTCATGCTGATAAGTAATCATTGTATAAATGTTATATATTTATTTATATATATATATAATATGTAATAACATTTAAATGATTTTATTTACTTATTTATTGAAATTACAAATAAAAAATATGTAGTTTTTCCCTCTCTTTCTCTAATTAAAATTTTGTTATTAAGAGAGCGATAATTTTATATGAATTTGCAAAATGTTTGCTTCTGATGGCTTACCAAGAATTCTTTCATTTCGCTAGAAGAAAATAGCATGCCAGAAGAAGCAGTCTACGTCCGCGTAGGAATGCGAATCGAAATACCTGACAATTCGATTTCGACACGGACAATACGAACTGTCCAAAAGTTCAAAGTGAGATTGGATAGATTCGTCTTCGCGTTTGACTGTAATAATTAGAGTGTCTCGTTCAGAGACATTTCAAATATGAAAATGATAGAGCAACTTTTAATGTAGCATTATTTTCATAGAAAACTATTAAAAGTTTCTTATATGTGTATTGTATACTGAAGTCGCCTTATCGACATAATTTTTACTGATGAGAAATTTGATATATTTATAAAGTACAATAAAAGGTTAAATATTATTTAGACCATGTTTTAGCATTTTTATCGCAAAATTAATTGAAGTAACAATGTTCAACAAAAATAAGTGAAGAAGGCGGAGAACGCCATATTCGATCAAAGCGGACCTTAGTGTCTAATAATATATATATATTGTATTTTACAATTTCCAGGTCAAACTGCACTGATTATTTGTCGATCTTGAAACACAAGGTCTGTCTTTTATTCCTGCTCTCTCTGAACTGGTGCACACGGTGCAATAAGTTAAAGTGAAATAAATATACGTTTGTTTCATTTCAATTTATTGCACCGTGTGCACTAGTTCAGAAGTACAGAAATAATAAACAGACCTACAGTCTTAGACTAAAGGAGTATGTAATATCACAAATTAAATTGACAAGCAATTTAATATTATTGATATTAAGCATCTTTAAAGCATTGTAAATAATTTATTGAAAAATATCACCTCAGTCGAGATTTTCTGAATTCCGTGGACATCTTATCAATTCGATCACCAATTCGAGATGATATTATTTACAATAATAGTACATGTAGGAAGAACGTTACTTTTCAGGCGCCGTAAATAAATGAAATTTATGATAATAATTATTATTTTTATTAATTACTTCAAATAAAATAGTAATTGATATTTTTTTCTATGTTCTAAAGATAATCCATATAAAAATAATATTTTTCATTTAAACATTTATTTTATATTATATAATGCAATTATAATATTCCAATAATTTTAAAAGTTTAATTAATAAATAAGTTATAGTTTACGTAAAAATAATTGGCGCAATTTTCTTGCAGTTGATACTTTTTATAAATAAGAATTGCTTCTTTTTATTTTATCATCTAATAAATATGCATTTTGCGACAGTAATTTGTTGCCATTTTGCGGAAAATCACGGTGCGAAGAGTATTAGTTATCTCCATTGGTTCAACCAATGCGAATCAAAGAGACTCACTGGTTGTGCTTCTTTTTACTTCATTTTTCTATTTCTTGCAATCGCCTTTGAACTACGCATAAGATACCGGAAAGTAAAATATTTCCGTCGTTGAGTTGACTGAATGAGGCTGTCGCTCGTTTGACGGAATCGACGCCAACGTTCACCCACCTCCGCTGTCTTTTTTGGATTTTCCTTTTCCTTCGTCGAGTACTCTAATCAGGACGCCGCTGCTCTTCTAGTGAATTTTGCATTTTCGCCATTGGAAATGGCAGGACTCCGCCGAGGAAAGAACTCGGGCGAGAGAAAACTGCTCTAACACCGTGAAATAACTGACGACGTAAGCTACTTCCCTCCGGTTTACTAGACTCACAATGGAAATCTGAGACTGAGAAAACCTGATGTTTATCACTTTCAGAATGCGAAAGCTTATTAAATGTTCCTCCTCTTTCTTTATGTTTTTCAATCTCTCTTGTATGTTCATATCTTGTTGTGTAAACAACGGATTTTATAAATTAAGAAATTAAACTCTAGAATAAATTTTAATAAACGTTTTAATAAAAAAGATGCGTCTTTTTTAATCATTGTTGTATTAGTTTAGACTTCAAATTGCGTTTAGATAATTATTTTAAATCAAGTTTTGAATATTTGTATAGTAAATTGATTTTCTACACGTAGATAAAAAATTTTTCTAGAAATTCCTTTCATTATTTTTTTAATGGAATGTATTAGAATATTATTTTTATTTCCTTACGTAACATTCATATTTTTGTTTATAACGATTTTACATTCAAACATTTCATCGGATACATGTAAATCACGAAATCTATTAAAGCAAATTGTATGAATATATGTGTTAATTAAAATTGTTATATGATTGTAAGTTTATCAGAATATTTTAAAGTACTATTATGGAATATGGAAGTTGGTTGATTTTTAAGAAATCAAAGCTTGATAGTGCGACACACTGGTACGACAAATAAATTCTGAAGATTCTAATTGAAATTCTTACTCTGACGAGAGAGAGAGAGAGAGAGAGAGAGAGAGAGAGAGAGAGAGAGAGAGAGAGAGAGAGAGAG